AAAAGCTTTTTCACTGTGAGGGTGACAGAGCACTGGAACAGGCTTCCCAGAGAGGTTGTGGAGTCTCCTTCTCTGGAGACATTCAAAACCTGCCTGGATGCATTCCTGTGTGACCTCTCTAGGTGGTCCTGCTCTGGAAGGGGGGTTGGACTAGATGATCTTTTAAGGTCCCTTCAAACCCCTAACATTCTGTGATTCTGTGATACAGCTTTCTGCTTCTGTATCTAGGGCCGGATCCTTTATTCCCAGAATACAACATGTGATAAGGGAACTCAAATGCAGGAAATCATTCAGAAATCCCCCTGCGCCATCAGGTAAAGACAGTTCCTGACTTAAAATAGCCCACCACAGGCCTCGATAGTCTGTCCTCTTGGGCAGCATCCTTCTTGTCATTGGGATCCTTGATGCCTCAGCAGACACTGTGTGGAAATAGTATGTTTTCTGGAGAATCTTTCCGGGCATGTTGTGATTTTGTTTCTGCTTTTCACTTAACCCGGTATCCTTTGCCAGAAACTCTCTACTGTCTCTGGAAACGAAAAGCAGCTATGTGGAGTCATCTGAGCACTTCTACACAGATTGCCTGTGCATGAGCATCCCCCTTTATCATTAGACCATCAGAGCTTTCTGAACCTATGTCAGAAAGTGTGAAGTCCCATGAGTCCCACCCATTAGATGTGTTTTGAATGGCCTGTGCCAGTGTTTAGCTTGTAAGCTCATTTGGATGAGAAGAACTCAAGATCCTATGTGACATTCAGAGACCAACAAGATAGTAAAGCATTCTGCTGCATATGAGCTATCTTTCAGCTGTTAGGTGCATGCATGAATTGGTCTAGGTTGTGCAGCTCATCCAGGCTCGTGAAAAGCACCATGAAAGCAGGGCCGTTCATCCAGGCAGCTGGCAAGTCTCTCAGAAAATGTAATTGGTTTAAACAGGCATTTGGTCAAATGTTGCGTGTAGGTCAAGTGGCTCTCCAGGCCTTATACATGAAAGACTATGTAGGTGCTAAGCTTTTTTGTGAGCTTAGGGCTTTCTCTTGTAAGTTTTTAAGAACTGCTAATATTCTGTTAATACCACAGTCCATAAACCCCGAATTAGCTTTGACCTGTATGCATTTTTCTCACTGACAATGAAAATTCTTCATTAAAATATGTTGCTCGTTGCAGTGAGAGCTGCGTAAATTTTAGGGGAAAAAAGGTGGGGTTTTTTCACGGCTATAATAAATAAGCAAGACCTGAAGCACAAGTATTAGATTTTTTTTTTTTTTTTTTTTTGGTCTGAATGTAAAGTGTTGAGCCTCCTAATATTAAGCCTTATTGAAATCCTGACTTCTTGACCCAAATCCAATTCCTATTTTCTCTTTTTCAACTCTCATCACAATGACCCTTGTCATTTTGTGAGTCTAATTTTATCACCAAAACCTCTGTACTTACTAATAAGCTACAAACTGTACACGAGTGATGTCCTAGTTTGTTTATTACAGGTTGTTTCACACTTATACCGCCTTGTGTATGACCATGCAAATATTAAAATTACTATCATAAGAGCTCAAGAACCATGAATCTGTGTCATTTCTATCCTCACAACCAACCAGTTGGAATGCATATGGAATTTGCCATGGACTCCTTTTAGAGTTGTCCGATGGTCTGCAGGGGCCGCCATCCCGTGGCCGTGGGGAAATGGCAGTTCAGTTGCCATTGAGATCAAAAGCCCCAGGCTGAGGGTTCTTGGTGATCAGAACTGAGCAAGGTGGAGGAATGAGCAAGTAAGATCAGAATACGACTGTGAGAGATGGCATGCCAATTTCAGATGGGGTATATGGGTAAGAGGTGATGGTACCTCATCTAGTGTTCATTTCTGTCCTTGTGAAAGTGTAACGTGCTTAGTCTTGAAGGGGAACGGGTTTCTTGCAGAGGGCTTTACTCAAAGACAGGGGAGGGAACATGACTGTGAGAAGGCAGAAGTGTTTCCTGACACGTCAGAAATGGTTCTTTCCGATTTGTCTTTTTTTTTTTTTTGTGGAGTGGGGAACCGTTGGGAATGGAGAGCCTCTGTTACTGCTCTCTCTTCCCAGGCAATCTCAAAAGGTCTGTGGTTCGCAGAATGCTCTACGCTAGGCTTTAAACTCATGTTTTCAGTTAAATCTTTTCACATGTAATATTACCAAATAAAAACATAAGTGAAGAGGAAAAGGGAAAACAACAAAACAATGGCTGTGTTTACCCTGTAACGAATTCAGGGAGATTTTTTTCCAGTTGCTCTTCATGGTCTTCCTCCAAGGAGGGAGCAATTGATACACTGTATGTGAGTGAATTAATTGACTTTTGTTGAAGTACTTGATGAGTACTGTCTACAAGTCTGGAATAAAAATACCTTCCAAAGCTGTCCTCAAGAGTAGGAGTTTATTCTGTTTAGCTGTGAAATTGTTGGGTTTTTTTCTTAGCCTGTTGTGTCAAATCACTTGACTCTTTGCATTAAAGCCAAATTAAAGCCCACATTAATAAATATATTTTGAGTTCTAAAGATTACGGTGCTGTAAGATAACATGATAATTGAAATGTCTTTGCATGTTTAACAAAAATGTTTGTAGTTAAATACCATTGATTTAGCCTAGCAAACTGGATATTTTCCCTATCTTTTGATTAAAGAAAAAATATTATTTTGAAGTAATTTAATTTATATTTTAAGGCTGTAATGAAAGCTGTTCCTGCTTCCTGCCCTTATTAAATAGTTTTTGTGTATTATGAGTTCCATTTTAACCACAATTCAGAAAGGAATGTTCATGTCACTTATGACTTTCCTGCTATTCTTTCTTTTGTTTCTGTATTTTGCTCTTAAGTTTCCTCAGCACATTGTTAGACCCAGCCCTGGCAAGAAGCTGATTGATATTGCTCTGTGCTCTGGCTAAATAGCTAAGCATACAGTGTATTGTGTCTGCACTCAGGGAAAAAATGAAGTGCAATTAAATTCATTTCAACTTCAGTAACATGACATTTCTGTTTCTCTTGTGTCAGCCTTTGCTCTCTTCTGTAGTCAGATTTTGTAACCCTTTTTATAATGTCTCCTCACTTCAGCAGTCTCTAAATAAAATAGGATGCTTGTGTTGCAAGTTAATTAGAAATTCTCATGTGCCTGGGTTGACTTTTCCCAAATCTTGGGTGTGGTTTCCACATCTTCCAAGAGAGCACATTTCACCGGTCGCTGAGCTGTGGGGCAGGAGGTCCATGCCTGCTCCTGAACTCTTCCTGTTTGGCTTTGCAAAGGCTTGTTGTGGTCCCATTTGGAACTCTAGTATTTCTAAAAATCTTTCAGGGAATAGGAAGGATCTTAATATTAGGAGAGGTTTTCCAAGACTGCAAAGAAAATTCCTGTGAAACGATCGTTCACCCTTTGTATTGATCAAATCCATGAGGGTAGCACTTACAGCCTTTCACAGCAGGTGCCCCTGAGAATGCAGGAGAATGATGGGAGAGGAGGTGGAAAGGGGAGGACAAAAGATCTCATTGTCCAGCTCTCTGTTCATAATTGTAAATTTATGAAATTTAAAAAAATACACAATATCCATGCTTAGCT